ATCTTGCCCTTGGTCGGCCCCTCTTCCTTTTTCCTTCTATTTTCCCCAGCATCATTGTCTTCTCTAAGCTTTTCTGTCTTCTCATGATGTGGCCAAAATGCCTCTACTATCCTTCCCTCCAATGAGCAGTCGGGCTTTATTTCCTGGAGTATGGACTGGTTGGATCTTCTCATGGTCCAAGGCACTATCAGAACTTTCCTCCAGCACCACAGTTCAAAAGCATCTATCTTCCTTCGCTCAGCCTTCCCTATGGTCCAGCTTTTACTATGCGGATCTTCGTTGCCAATGTGATGTCTCTACTCAAGTATTTTATCGAGATTGGTCATTGCTCTCCTCCATGTATTGCTGGAATCTTCCTTGCAGGATCTTGAGCATTACCTTATTGCCATGATAAATAAGTGCCACTGTACGAAAGTTTGAGCAGTCTTTAGCATGTTCCCTTTTTTGGTATGGGGATATAAGTTGTTTTTTTCCCCAGTCTGATGGTCGTTCTTGTGTTTTCCATATTTGCTGGCATATGGCATGCATCACCTTGGCAGCATCACCTTTCAACATTTTAAAACTAAATGGACCAGTAAGACATCTAGAGATCTCAAAACATATGCCTTCTTGATTAGCCTGATAAAAGTATTGTCACAATCTGGATTTTGGAATAGGTTTTATTGTCTAAGGTAAAGGTAAAGGTTTCCCCTGACATTAAGTCTAGTCGTGTCCGACTCTGCCAACATCTTAGTGTCTATTAACTGTTCCAGATGCAGGTCTTCTCCTTTGTACCAGGGTTCAAAGAAAAATATATTTTACAAACAGCAAAGTAAACTTTCCCAAAATATGTCAAGTCTTTCCAGTTTGTTAGTTTTTTTGTGGACCTGAAGATCCGCTAGGTTTTATGTCAGGTACAAAGTCAAACAACAGCAGTTATTTTGTTTACTTTCAGAATGACCCAGTTCTTTCTGTCGCAAGAAGGCATTTTTACCTAGTCAGATTTTAGTTGGAATTTCTGGTCACATACCACAGTAAAAATACATTATATTTTTCTCTCTTTTAATTCACATAGCACATAGCCTAACTCTACTGTTCTGGTCCTTTTGTGTTCCTTCCTCAGAAACCCATTCTCCCTCAGAAACACATTCTAAATATCTCATCCAGGGTTTTATTAATTTTATCAATTTTATTCCTAGTACATTTGGCCTGCCCACTGTGTTCTAGTTCTCTATCATGTTATTTTGAAACTGGTTATTTTATTTTGTTATTTTATGTATTTTTGCTTCTTGTATTTTATTTTGCTGTACTGTAATTTTGGGCTTGGCCTCATGTTAGCCGCCCCAAGTCCCCTTTGGGGAGATGGTGGTGGGGTATATATACAGTTTTATTATTGTTGTTGTTGTTGTTGTTGTTGTTGTTGTTGTTGTTGTTGTTATTATTATTATTATTATTATTATTATTCTCAAAGAGGCTGCCAGTCAGCCAGCCTTCAGAGGGGAGCTTCTTTGAAGTTAATAGTGGAGTGACATAATGTGTCTTCATATTATTTTCTGGGTTGCTATGGGATTGATATTTAGCTAGAACTACAAACTGCAACAGTCAGCTTTCGTATAGAAATTAGTCTGTTTTATTTCCTCACCTTGTCTCTTTTTTCAGTTTGTAGCAATGACACATCCACTCTATTTTGGGAATATCCAATTATGTATGTGTTTGAAGCAATACTGGAGTGTGGTCAGCTCATTCATTGGCTATAATTTCACTTGATTAAAATATTTGCAACATATTAATGGGACTAAAGATTGTGTGGTTGTTTGTTAGTTAATGTAAGGTGGTTTCTCCAGGACTGAGGAATATGTAAGGTGGTTTGTCCAGGACTTGTTCCTTTAAAAGTTTTCAAAAAAACACCTGATTTAAGTTTTGGGTTAATCAACCAAATATTGTATTGATGAGCCAGGCTATTAATATAATAGTTCACAATTTCTTTCTGCAGTAAATGTGGATATATTGATTTCTTTCCATCCCAGTCAGGAAGAGTATTTAGTATGTAGGGATAAGTTATGCTTTTTTAAATGATATTTGGGTTGAATCGGAAACATTTTGTTCTGGTGTAATGCTCATCAAGATCAAATTTTTGAGTAGGGAGAGATAATATGGCCTCTTAAGTGTATTTACTTCTGAGTTGCATTATTATATTATATTATATTCTTCAGATCAACCAACAAATTAACTATCTTTGTGAAATTCCTCCATTTAAGGGTTTCTTGTTCCCTAAATAAAAGGATGTTGCAGATCTTGCTGTGGGACAACATTGCTTAGTGGCTGCCATTGGCCATGTGTGAAAGTGCAGTGGAACTTTGACTTAAAAGCATCCTAACTTAAGAGTGTTTTGAATTAAGAACTATTGCTTTGACATAAGGACAGTGTTTTAAGAGCTAGTGCCAGAGGGAGTGCTAGTGTGAGATTACAGTTTTAGGGCTTCAAGGGAGCAGCCTCCGTGCCTCATGCTCTTGTCCACTTTGGCAGATTGCTGTCCACTTTGCTCTTGTCTGCTTCGAGGAACTTTGGATTAGTCAATTTTGTATGGTTTACATTCCTGGTATGTTTGGCTTCATGAAGAGAAAGTGGGAGAGAGAACAAGAGAGGAAGGGAGGCTGGAATGAGCACAATACGAAGAAAATGATTCTTCTGCATCTTCATTTTGTGCTTCTACCACGACTTTGTGCTTTTACCATTTTAAAGTTGATCTTTCTTTTTTATTGTTCCATGTGAATGTGCATTTATACATTATTTGTTATTTATAAAGTACCTTTTCTTATTTAAAAACATGTAACAAAAAATGGGAGGGGACGACAACCGGAAGATTAATAGCATTTCAAATGGAAATTTGCTTTGATATAAGAACATTTTGAGTTAAGAGCTTGGTCACGGAATGAATTAAACTCTTAAGTCAATGTATCACTGTATTTCTCTCCCTGCAATTGTCAATCAGAGTCACAATTCATTTTGTCATCTTCTGCAGGCTTGCAAAAAAACGAGGTGCCACACTTGTGGTGAGGTAATGATGGAACATGCAGGAGAAGTCTTGAAAATCCTTGGTGGAGTTGGACTCTTCTTCAGCTTCACAGAGGTAATGCTTCCTCTTAGGGCCAAACAGTGGAATTATTGCTTTTTCTCCCCTGGGTCTGTTTCTATGCTGCTGGTCGGTGGCATTGCAACAGGTGCATAATTTCAAGCCATGTGTAAGTTATATCTGTGAAACCTCCGCTTGGCACATAGCTCATTAATAAAGAAATCAAGCTTTCCCAGAAAGACAATCAGAAGTCTATCTCTATTATTTCCCTGTCTCTTTTTGAAATCTTAACAAGAGAATTCTAGGTCACAGTTCCTCCATGTGAGCTTGATTATAATGTTATGGATGCAATGCTGTAGTAGTTGATAATCTACATACTTCATTTATTTAATTGTAAGACACCATTGATCAGGCTTGTAGCTGGGGAGGGGGGGTTAGGGGTTAACCCCCCCTCCCCCGAAATTTTTTAGGTTAAAAAAAACCTAGTTTACTCATGAATTTTAACTGGTTAACCAAATCCCCATGCTAAGTCTATGAGATGCAAAAAAGTCCATCCAGAACTGTAAGGACTATTTCAAGCAAATATTGACAATTTATTCACACTGTCATTACTTGCAGCGAAGCAACCAAGTTGGGGGGGCAGGGTGAATGCTCTCATTAAGGAGGCCAGACTTGGTGGAGGTGGTTGACAGGGGCGGAGCTGCAGGCTATTGAAGGCTGCTCTGCCCCCGGCTGTGCTCTTTGCTTCAGTGTGACCCTAACTCCCCCCCCCCCCCTGAAATTTTCAACCCTCCCTGAAATTTTCAACCCTCTCCGAATTTTTTTTCTGGCTACGGCCCTGCTATTGATTGTAAGACACACCCTAGTTTCAATACCAACAACAACAAAAATCAATGAGATGCACCTGAGATTCTAAGATTCACCCCATTTTAGAGACGATTTAGAGGAAAAAGTGAGTCTTAGAATCACATGGTGACTTGGTGCCTGATCCCAGTTGGATGGAAGATGGCAATAGCTGTCCCCATATGCAAAAAAGGGAACAAAAGGATCCTGGTACTTATAGGCTGATCAGTTTAATTAATATTGTGGCCAAAATATATGTCAGATATCTCCTGAACATAGCTGAGTGCTGGGAAAAAGAGAAATGTATCCTCACTGAAGAACAGGCTGGCTTTAGGCAGAGTAGATCAACCATTGACATTGGCTTTGTTCTAAATCATATAATTGCAAAATATGTCAGCAGAGGGAAACAACTATATACTGTCTTTATAGACCTAAGAGCAGCACTCGATACTGTAAATAGAGAGATGTTATGGAGGAAATCAACTGATCTCAATATTGAACCCAGACTGTTCAAAGCACTTTACACAAACACCTACCTGAAAGTGTGATTTGGGGTGCAAGGAGCTATTACAAACTGTGTAGAAATACATAAAGGGATCAGACAAGGGTGTATATTAGCACCACTGTTATTTAGCTACAGTTGAAGAACCCAGATGCCTAAGGTGCTTAAAACACATCTCAACATCTTGTTATATGCTGATGACATGATTTTATTGTCATATTTGCAAGTTGGGCTATGTAGGCTGCTGAGAAGATTTAATTCTATTGTCATAACAACTCCCTAATTATTAATAAATCAAAGTAAAAAAAATGGTATTTGGCAAACAACATAATAGACATAGATGACTTCTGGTTGGTGAACCAATAGAGCAAGATTGCACTTTTACATACCTAGGAGTCCTTTTTTCTGAGTCCGGTTCCTGGCTCCCACACCATCAGAGGAGCTCAGCCAAATCTACTGCTTAAATTAACAAATCATAGCCAGTCAGGATCTTTAGACTCACTTCTTAAAGTATATAAGGCTAAGGTTACCCCCATGCTCTTATGCGGAGCTGAAGTTTGGGCCCAAACCAGGTACCATTATTAGAGCAATCTCAGTCACAGCACCTGCAAAGTTTTCTGGGAGTGGACAAAAGGACCCCAGCTGCTGCAGTAAGAACAGAACTGGGAGTATATACAGTTGATAGCTTATTTATTTATTTATTTATTTATACGCTTGTATACCGCTAATATCTCAGCCTAAGTCGGCGACTCATTGCGGTTTACAACAATTAAAAACAGTATTCAATTTAAAACATAAAACACATATACAATACAAATTATTGGGCCACCAATAATAATCCCATGCATCTCGTAACTAAAATCACAGTCCAAAATTCGTCGTCCATGATTACCAGTCCTTTAGTCATCAACATTCGATTGCAACGGATTAACCGAATGCTTGTTTAAACAACCATGTTTTCAATCTCTTCCGAAACACCATCAGCGAGGAGGCTGAACGTACCTCTATAGGGAGGGTGTTCCAAAGCCGAGGGGCCACCACAGAAAAGGCCCTGTCTCTCGTTCCCGCCAGCCGCACTTGTGAAGCCGGCGGGATAGAGAGCAGGGACTCTCCAGAAGATCTTAGGGTCCTGGTGGGCTGATAGGCTGAGATACGTTCGGATAGATAAGTTGGGCCAGAACCGTTTAGGGCTTTAAAGGCCAACGCCAGCACTTTGAATTGAGCCCGGTAGCATATTGGCAGCCAGTGGAGCTGGTGCAGCAGAGGAGTTGTGTGCTCCCTGCGCCCCGCTCCTGTTAGTATCATGGCTGCCGCCCGTTGGACTAATTGGAGCTTCCGGGCTGTCTTCAAAGGCAACCCCACGTAGAGAGCGTTGCAGTAGTCAAGGCGGGATGTAACCAGAGCGTGGACCACCGTGGCCAAGTCAGACTTCCCAAGGTACGGTCGCAGTTGGCGCACGAGTCTTAACTGTGCGAAAGCTCCCCTGGTCACCGCCGAAACCTTATCCAAAATTAGGGTATACAACTACTGGGTAAATCTGAATGCCATAGCAAATGACAGACTACCAAAGCTGTGCCTGTTAGAGCAGACAAAAATCAACATCAGACCTCTTGGCTAGTTCAATTGACAAAACACATTAGGAATTGTGGAGTTCCGATTCTGCATCCAAATCTCCTAGAAGAACTAGATCCAAAATTGTTGCACAACGAATACAGGATACAGAAGCTCAGAAAGACATTGCTACCCTCAGTAAAGCTGGCTCATTGAAATGGCTAAGTAGTTTTAAACATACTTTTCAAACAGCCCAATATCTAAAGACAGAAATGCCTAAACACCTCAGGAGGGTATTTACCAGAACTAGGTTTACACAGCCGGAAACAATGGTCAAACATGGAAGGTTTAACCAAGTTCCATATAATGAACGATTTTGTGTCTGTGTAACATCAGAGGTAGAAGATATCACACATGTACTGTTTAGTTGTGACTTGTATAAGAAAGAGAGAAACCAATACCTCGGACCATCCATTATACAAAAGACACGGGGATCCTTATACAGGGTGAGGCAGCATAACTTCCTTTTTTCAAAACTTAATAAAACCCATTGTATGAATCAGATTTTTTTATTTTTTTATAATGTAGGTGCATCCCTAAAGTTTTGTTTTATGTAGTTTTGAAGATCAAGTTAGGTAGGTGATATCCCCCATTTTCCATACACTGAGTAAACCAATTTCTTGCCAGCATAGCAGGCGTTATGTTGGCAATTTCTTCCTGGATGTTGGTCTTCAAATCTTGTAGGGTCCTTGGACGGTTCACATAAACACGGGATTTCAAAAAACCCCATAGAAAAAAATCACAAGGGGCCAAATCTGGAGAGTGGGCCGGCCACTCCAATCCGCTCAAAAAGTAGGCTTCAACGGCAAAAGCACGCTCCTCACTGTTCCAACGCATGATGGTGACTGAACTGTGTCAGGACAAAACTTTATACTCCCGCCTCTCGAACGAGACCACTAGTGCTCTGCTACATCTTCAACCAACTGAATGGCGCGCATTTAAAAAAAGGAAGTTATGCTTCCTCACTCTGTATTAAAACTACATTTTAATGGCCAGCCAGAATGCTAAAATAACATACAAAAAATGGCCCCTTTTCTATATAAAGCAACGCAGCTGGGAACGGTATATTTGGAGTCGATTGGAGTCACCTACAGGGGTTATGCTGATATTTGATCGGGAGCTTGATCCCTTGTTAATAGCGTGTTTATTTTAACTTGTTGTTCTGTGGGTTGTATGCTGCATGTGTATGTGTTAAATGTGATTGTCAAATGTTTTGATACGGCTGATGGGCTAATCAGTAAAATGTACTACATGGTGACTTGATAGTGCCTTATGAATGAAATCTCTTAGCTTGATTCTTTCTCTCTTTCAGATCCTTGGAGTGTGGCTTGCCATGCGCTACAGAAACCAGAAAGACCCCAGAGCCAACCCTAGTGCCTTTTTATAGAACCCTCCCCCTCCACCTCTTCCCATGCCTCCTATACCTTCTTTTAGTTAGCTGCTTATCACCTATATTCAAGGTATCTCATTACCATCACTTAAAAACAAAGCACCCTTTGCAGCCCTTTGAAGAAAGTAAGAGACGCTTTGCCATTGTGCCAAACTGCTGATTGGGGGAAATAGCAGAGCAAAGGCTGCATCCTTGGGCATGAAGCCTTTGGCAAGTGGCAAAGGGGACCTACTGAGACAAACAAACTTGGGGACATCACTGGCATAAAATGATGTGACCTGCCAAAGTACACATCAGTGCTGCTCCTTGCTACAATCATTCTGGTGTTTTTAAAGAATGTACTTTGGGATCGTTACATTCATTGTTGTTTTTTAAACTCCCTGAAATTGCTCCCTTTGCAAAAGGGAAAAGCAAAGGGCTCAATGCCATTGTTTGGTCAGTGGAAGAGTCAACGCCGTTACCATGCATTGCTTTACATTGTGTGTTTGTTGTAGTCTCACTTGGACTAATGTGAAATAGACACAAAATAACCCAGCAAGCAAATTCAGACAAAAGATTTTACATTTTAGTCAAACACAAGGATTAAGTTATTCTCATGTGTGTGTGTGTGTGTGTTTTAAAAAGAAACAAACCTCAGTTGATGTTTTCCTGAATTCCTTGTTTACAATCATTGGTACAGGCCACCTCTTTAAAGAGAAAGCAGAGGCCTGTGTAAATTTACCCAGAGAACGTAATAACTCATTATGTAACTTAAGGCTGTATCAATGTTACAGATTTGCAAGCTGGCTTGATAGTGGTTTTTCTCATGATTTGTTCTAGCAAGAGGGACTAATAGGATTGTCGGTCTTTTAAGATTGAGATTCCCTGTCCCTTTGCAGTACTACTATCCCTATGATTCCTTGATTGGACAAACTGCTGTATGTTGCATTGTAGATATGACCTGCTCTGTTTGGACTCCTATCCCTGTGTTCCTTTAGTGTAAGGATGTATGAGGGAAATAGAGATAGCTCTGTGGGATGCTTTGCAAACTGTTTTTTGAGAACTTACCTCCAATTTTGTTCCAATGTCATTTTGAACTCCACAATAATTTTGCTTCTAGATGAGAAGAGACTGTAGAATCTATAACCACAATTTGGCTGGAAACAAATGCTGTGAGCTAGCATCACGCTCCTTCTGCACTACTTCAGGTTAGCAGTCTGGGAATACGTTTTATTGGGCTGTGATTCTATTCTCCTAAACCAGTAATTCTCAACCTGTGGGTCCCCAGATGTTTTGGCCTTCAACTCCCAGAAATCCTAACAGTTGGTAAACTGGCTGAGATTTCTGGGAGTTCTAGGCCAAAACACCTGGGGACCCACAGGTTGAGAACCACTGTCCTAACCCATTCCACCCCTCAAAGTCTTGGTCGAGAGAAATCATGGGTTCTCATAGTAGTTTGTTGCCAGTTTCCTACTCAAGAAGGGAGAATGAATGCTTATGGTCACTAATGAAGGATCTTAGGATCCCGCAAAGGCCACTTTTTCGTTCTCAGCACTGTATCATCATTACACCTTGGAAAGCATCCATCTTCGCTTCTTTCTGAATGGAAGTAGAAAGCTGGTTATGACAGCAGAGCAAAAGATCAAGTACTATTCCACATCACCAGAGACTGAGAAAGGGCAGGTGTGACGCATTGCGTCTCTGAAACATCAACAAAAACTGCAAGGAAGGGAAGATGACGATTGGAACAGGAGGCAAGTGTTGGAAAGGACTGCCTTCTTGCTTTGTTTACTGCTCCAGCACAGCACCAAGAGTGTTTCCTTTTCCTACAAGCCACTTTGTAAAGAGAGAAAGAAACCTCCCAGATGAAGGAAGACTCTTGATGTGCTTTTGGATGGAGAGCAGCAGTGATTCCCTTAACTACCAATGCAATGATGGCACATGCCCACCTGCTCTTAGTGAATGCTAGCACTAGATAGAGCATGGTGATAAAGACATCAGAAGGAAAGCTTAGGAGTAAAGGTGAAGATCTAAAGAGAACCATTGGAATTTCTATATGCCATTCATATTTACAGTCACCAGGCTACTTCTTTTGGGGTGGTCTCGTGATGAGGCAGTAGAGAAGCACCTAAGTTTGGAGCAGATAGAAATAAGTTGGCAGCCACGTCCTGAGAGTGTTCTGTTCAGCTCTAGGTGAAGGTCCATCCAAGAAGATGACTTCCTCAGACAGTTTACTTAGTACTTTGGGATAACCATGTGGGAATACTAAGCATTAAAAAGATATGCTCTATAATCTGATGTGCTTCCTTTTCAGAACAGTAATTACTAGTAAGCATTCTTGTCCTCTAGTCCTATCCAGTTAAAGTCTCAGGTTGGGTGAGGAGACTTGCTGATCTCCATTTGTAGGGATTGGTTGAATCTAGATGCCATGCACTTTATGGGAGTACACAAGATTTACTCGGCCAGGGAATATAGATGTATCCTCATCCTATTCACGTTTGACTTGACAGATGCCTGCTTGCCACTTATTTTTAATTTTAAAAGGGGGAGTTTGACTTGCTGCTTCCCTTTGGTGGATGGCTTTGAATGCTGCATATTTTCTCGAGACTATCCTTGCCTTTTACTTAGTGGCAGATAAAGGAGGAAGAGCACAAGGGGCTTAACATTTGCATAAAAGCTATGATGCTCAACATGTTTCAGGTCACCTTTCCTTCTGATGGCTTTGTTGAGAACAACATGCTTCTACCATCATGTATAACTGGATTACTCAAATTGTAGATTGGAGTTGCCCTGTTACAGATCATTTGAATAAATACATTTCTGTCAAACGCAAGCCTCTTTTCTTCATTAATTTGTGCCTCTAAGGCTGTGAGTGAGAATGTAATTATAGAGTGAATTTACTTTCAGCAGTATGTTTTAAAAATAGAAATTTAGTTTACGGCGCATTTTCTTCATTTCTGGTACTGTTATTAAAATGGTTTTCCTATACAGGCCAATTGTTCACTCAAAATAGGGATACCATACATCTTCCTTTCCTTTAATGAACCCTCTTTTTCAGACATAAAATTTCTAATTGCATGAATTTTAACATGTCCAGGCTTTTTTTAAAATGAGGAGTATTGACACTTTAAAAAAGAGGACTGAGGAGTATAGACACTTTAACTCACTGCTTCGATGGTGCAGCAAGTTAAACTGCTGAGCTGAACTTGCTGACTGAAAGGTTGATGGTTCAAATCCGGGGAGCGGGGAGGGTTCCCACTGTTAGCCCCAGCTTCTGCCAATCTAGCAGTTCAAAAACATGCAAATGTGAGTAGATCAATAGGTACCGCTTCAGCGGAAAGGTAACAGTGCTCCATGCAGTCATGCAGGACAGATGACCTTGGAGGTGTCTACGGACAATGCCGGCTCTTCAGCTTAGAAATGGAGATGAGCACTACCACCCAGTGTTGGACACGACTAGACTTAATGTCAGGGGAAACCTTTATACTGACTGAAGAAAGCAGGCAATTGAGTAATAGTGCTCTGAGGAGAAAGAGTACCAAGTTAGATCCCCACACAGGTAGTTTCAGTGAGCATAATTCATTTTACTGTTAGTCGGGTATTGAACATTCAGTTGTTAACAGATAATTTGCTGGTATCATCAACCACAAAATTTTTGTTACAGCAAAGGTTAGGACTATTTCTTGTAGCCATTATAACAGCTCATACTGTAGAGCTATTTAAAGTGATGTGTCATAGCAATTTGGTGCTTTGAAACAGTCAGTAAATGAATCTTTTTTGCTTTTCAAAACATGATAACCCTGTGCTTTTTTTTTTAACGGTAATTTCTTCTAAGGGAAAGAACAGGAACGGTATTTTTTTCCTCAATAATGGGTAATCTCTATTCCCAACTGTAGCTCCATCAGCAGCAGTTGAAAACCCACCAATTAAAGTACTTTCCCCACATTTTTATTTAAAAAAATGTCCACTATAGAGCAAGATCATTAAGTTGAGAATTTCCAAGTGTCAAATGCAGTATACTGACACAAGAGTGCAGCATTGTTCCTAGTCCTGACAGCAATACAGACCAGTCAAAAAAGGTAGCCATGTCTGCAGTTTCCCAAAAGGGAACATTCAGAGAACCAAACTGCTTCCCAGATGCTTTATTTGCTCCCCTCCCTAGCATAAAGAGTGGCAGATCACTTATCCAAGCAATGAGAGAGCATTTGACTTTAGAGTACTAATGTTACAAATCAGAACTAGGTGATTAATATACAAAAAACAAAAACTTAGAACCTAGTTGAAACGGAGGAACAGAAAATATTATCTTGCAATTCAAAGTGAGTTGAGAAGAAAAAGAAGGCACGCTAGCAGCAAGTGCCAGGCATCCAGTTTTCTTAGAGCTTCACAGCAAAAAAGCACATCACCAGGCCTAATTTTCCATTTCAGATCCAGCAGACATTGGCAGGCAGCCATGCCCTGCAGCTCCCTGGCCCTGGCAATGTGGATTAGAACATTCTCATCCATTTCCAGACTTAATATCAGAGGCCAGTCAAAGGCTCCAACAAGACAGTTCAACAGAACCCTCCAACAGCAGCTCTGTAGCAAATGCTATCCAGAGGCATACTACCACTACTAATGGTCACATTACTTACTTACTTACTTAGGCGATCCCTCGTAGTCTGAGTAAGATTGTCTTCCAAGATCAGTGTACTGGCGGTGGGACCGTAGGTGACTGTGAAGCCCTATTCTTGATCTGCATGTTCTTCCGCAGTGAGGGCATCGGTTTCCAGGTGGAAGGCGGTCCCGGTCGGGGTTGGCTTGACGCGCCTTCCTCTTGGCACGTTTCTCTTTCACCCTCCATTTGTGCCTCTTCAAATTCTACAGCACTGCTGGTCACAGCTGACCTCCAACTGGAGAACTCAAGGGCCAGGGCTTCCCAGTTCTCAGTGTCTATGCCCGAGTTTTTAAGGTTGTCTTTGAGCCCATCTTTAAATCTCTTTTCCTGCCCACCAACATTCCATTTTTCGTTCTTGAGTTTAGAGTAGAGCAACTGCTTTGGGAGACAGTGGTCGGGCATCCGGACAATGTGGCCAATCCAGTGGAGTTGATGGCAGAGGACCATCGCTTCAGTGCTGGTGGTCTTTGTTTCTTCCAGCACACATATAGCTCTCAGGACTAATAGCCATAGAGAATTTTGTCACAAAATCGTTTAATATCCTGTAACATCTTACCACACTGCTGCCCCTCCGTACAGCTATACTACAAAGAATATAGCTATGTCATATACATATACCCATTCTTTTGTCCTGAATTGCCCGCCACTGCTCAGCTCCATTGAAGGACTCCAGGATGTTTAAATATTATGGTACAGAAAATAATTTACAACAGTTCCTGAGCAATGCATCATCCAGCGCCTCTGAGAGATAACAATAATCTAATTTCTCCTCAGCACATACAATCCATGCAATTTCCTGGTCAACCCTTCAGTTCCCTTGTCTGCTGTAGCTGCAGCATTGGATAGAGCTGGTTGTTCCACGTTTCTTATCCTTGCTTGTGATTTCTTTTTAAATGATTAGTCTTCTTCACTGCAGACTTGTTATAACTTCCTCATTGAATCATTTTGGCATTGGTCTTTGGCATCTTCTTGATTATGATTCAGACTCAACTGGCTACTGTCTTCATGGGTTAAACCCTTGTGCCAGCAGGACTGCTGACCAAAAGGTCAGCAGTTTGAATCTGGGGAGCGGCGTGAGCTCCCAGCTAGGGCAGTGGGGAGCGGCGTGAGCTCCCATTGTCAGCTCCAGCTTTCCATGCAGGGACATGAGAGACTTCCATAGGATGGTAAAACATCCAGGCATCCCCTGGGCAACTTTCTTGTAGATCGCCAGAAGCGACTTGCAGTTTTTCAAATCACTCCTGACACACAAAAAAAAACCCATCTTCATTTTTTAGCTTCCTCTGCTTGCCCTTAGTCTTTCTGGGTTCTCTATTGGCTTGTTTAAGAGGTCCTCCTTTGAGAATAAGATACTTGAAAAATATTGCCATTCCAGATACCTCATGTTTGGGAGAGGAACACACTGCCATACATTCACCCCAAGTGCATTGAAATGGGTCTTCTTGGTTGAAGACTTTCCTTTGGGAAAATCTTCAGGCTGTTGGCATCTGTATTGTTTGTCAGTATTTCTTTTCATCCTGCTTCTGGATTCTACAATATATCAACCACTTCAGGTAAACTCAGTTTCTATAAAACTCATCCTGAAGAGATTGCTACAAGCATCAGTACTGAAACCTACAATAGCTTGAGAGGGTACGGACAATTCCAAGGCCAACCAACAGACCACAATCCCTCTTACTCCAGGCAGGCCTTTAAATATCAATAAATTCCTCCAGTTGGGACCAAGGAACACATCACCCAGAAAAGGCACAAGAAGCTTCAGTAAGTTGGTGGTCTCTGTCCCTGTCATTTTTAACACAGAGATAATCCACTTCTCAATGGGTTCCACTTCAGCCTTATGTTCAGGAGAGGGCTATCTCTTTACCCAATCTCCATTACATCTCAGCATTCTTTTAACTTACCTACTAAACTACCATTCTTCCATGTGAAGAACCCATACAAGAAGCCTTTCTTGGCAATGCTGCTTCAAATCAGTTCCATAGCAAAAAAAAAGTTTGCTATCCAATCACAAACAAAACAGTTCTCCAGGCCGTGGTCTTCCTGAGCTAATTTCTAAGTGTTTCTAAGTCCCACAGTAGCCGCCAAACCAGGTCTACTCTTCTCCCTACTTTGAGGAAATCTTCAGTCAGCAAATAGCTTTAGTCCTTTATGAAAAGGCATTAGGGTCCTGGTCAGTGGTTTTTGACTTCTGTTGCAAGTTTCCCCTCCCCTCTCTCTCATGCCCCCTTTTCACAACATGCTGCTAAAGTTTCCACAGCTAGGGCAGTGGTCCTCAACCTGTGGGTCCCCAGATGTTTTGGCCTTCAACTCGCAGAAATCCTAACAGCTGGCAAACTGGCTGGGATTTCTGGGAGTTGAAGGCCAAAACATCTGAGGACCCACAAGTTGATAACCACTGAGCTAGGAGAATCTGTCACCTCAGACTTGTGGTACCTTCAAAACACTTTGGTAAAGGATTCATAATACCCCTCCATCTCCAGTATTCAAGGAGGGAAAACCACTTTTACAAAGTGTACCATAGAACATGTTCCTGCCATTTGCGTTCTAAAGCGACGGGTTGTGCCTCATGGTAGATTTGCAGGACATTTATTTTTATATGTAGTAGAAACAATTCAGAATGATCTCACCAAAGTTCATCTTTCCCTTGATGCAAAAGATGGACTGACTGGATTCCAACTCCTGATTGAGATGTATATTTTTACACTGCAAACAGACTATGTCATTGTTACTCCCAGTTTTTCTGCCAGGAGAAAGACCTATCACAGTCTCGGTTCTCGACATTTAATATTAGAGATTAGATGCAAGGTCAAAAGCTGAGTCACTTGGCAGAGAAGTTCTTTCCTTGTCTTGCATGACCCCCCCCCCCCCCATGGTGTGTGGCTTGCTAGTACCTCATCTGTGTGATTCACAGGTGAAAAGAACTTCCTTACCTGTACTTACCTGTAGTTTTGGTTCACTGGGCGATCATCTGTCAACTCGCACAACCCCAACCTTCCTCCCCTATGTGTCCAACACATTTTAGTTCTTCAAGTGTTGCAGTGGCGGCTTTGGAATTAAATGGGAATCATGCTGGGCTTGCCCACTGGAGAGGGCTACCACCAAAATGCTAATTTCTCAGCCCTGGAAGTTTCTGAGTAACGCATTGTGCAAGTAAAACATTTGTATGAGTTCATGATTCCCATTGAGCCGCCAGTGGTGCAATGGGTTAAATCCTTGTACCGGCAGGACTGAAGACCAACAGGTCCGAGGTTTGAATCTGGGGAGAGCACAGATGAGCTCCCTCTTTCAGCTCCAGCTCCCTATGTGGGGACATGAGAGAAACCTCTCACAGGGATGGTAAAACATCAAAACATCTGGGTGTCCCCTGGACAACATCCTTGCAAACAGCCAATTCTCTCACAACAGAAGCCATTTGCAGTTTCTCAAGTTGCTTCCGACATAAAAAAAAAACAAACCAACTGATTTCTATTTGAAGAACCAGTTATAAATAAGCAAGTTGCCTCCCTATTCATTTTCTCTATGCTTCCCATCATACTAAACATAAACAAGAGACATTTTTAAGAAACAAGGAAGGTGAAAGGCCAAGCTTGGACTTCACCTCCTTTTTTATTGAATTACATCGTATCTATAATGTTGTGTGTTAGAAAAATGTTTTAGACCAATGCCTGGATTCAAACAGCTACAGTTGGTATCCTCCTCAGCAGCAATCCCATGCCAAGGTACTCCGTAACTTAGGTCTGTCTTGACCAGTGTCTTGGTAATTAGAAACAAAATAACAAATAGTGGATATGTATACAAAAATATCCTGTTTGAATCCAGGCACTGGTCTGAAACTTTTTTTCTTACACACACATCATTATGTGTAACAACTCGAGGCTTTAGTGTCAAACTGTTAGCCACAGGAATGTGATAAGGCAGCAACATTATTGTGTGTAAACTGTTATAAAAATTACTTTAAAAAAAAAAGGTTATCAATCAAAGACCTTTGGCAAGGAACCCACAGACGAATGAATGGGATGCCTCAAACAGGGCTCTCCCAAACACAAACTGACCTTCAACAACATCACTGGGAATCAACCCAGGAACATTGAATGGGTGTGATGTTGGCTCAGAGGCACCACAAGAGCCCTAGCGCTTCCAGGGCAGGAAAAGGTTTCAGGGCTGTTCTTCTTGCAACATGCACCATTTAACTTTTCTCATGCAGGTTGGCAACAATTCATTTTTCCCCATCCCCACAATCCCAGCCCAGCCAGGACTGCTTGAAGACTGTTCTTGCTGCGGCCTCTTGGTGGGGTGCAAATGATCTTCATACACACAAAGTCTATTGCAGAGTCTTTTTTGTCCCTACACCAGAGAATGGTTGGGTTGCTACCCTTCACCTGCACTCATGTCCTGAAAGTACTGGTGATGCAGTGCTTGGAAAGCAGAGATGCGTTTCAAGGGATTGAATGTCAGCATTTCCTGGAGAGAAAGAGAGACGTAAAAAGGGAAGGCATTACATCAATGTTTTGCACACACTTCTGTCTAAAGAACAGACAGACATCACTCAATGTGACTGTCTAAAGCAGAGTTTCTCAAACTATGCTCCTCCAGATGTTTTGGACTTCAGTTCCTAGAAATCCCAGCCAACTTGCCAGATGTTAGGAATAGTGACAGCTGAAGGCCAAAACATCTGGAGCAGCAGGGTTTGAGAAACACTGGTCTAAAAGTATTCGGCTTGCATCTTGGTTATCTGAAAGACTGTATCTCTCTCTACGAACCCATCAGATAATTACGATTAACTGGGGAAAGCCTTCTCCCTGTCCCACCACTCTCTCAAGCATGTTTGTGTTGGGTGAGTGTTGTTTTTATATGCTGTCCTGATTTTAGAGTTTTTAAAATACTGGTAGCCAGATTTTATTCATTTTCCTTCTTTCTGTTGAAATTGTCCACGTGCTTGTGGACACATGAGAACAGCACTCAGAAAACAGGGGAATTCCAGACAAGAAACAATCAGGGCCAGCTAATACCTCTCAACGAAGGAGTCCCCCAGACAGGAAGCAGCCAATCTTTGAAGCTGCAAGGGCATTAAATGCTAATAAAGATCATCAACTGAAACATTCACACTCGCCTTAAACAGAAAAGAGTACTTTCTCCCACCCTGGACGTTCCACAGATTTGCCCTAGTTTCCAACAGACCTCACAACCCCTGAGGATGCCTGCCATAGATGTGGGTGAAACATCAGGAGAGAATGCTTCTGGAACACGGCCATACATCCCAGAAAACTCACAGCAACCCAGTGGTTCTGGCCATGAAAGCCTTCAACAACACAATCACACATAGTTCCACAGAATGAGTTACCAACACTCAATGCCCCTTTATCTCCACAGGCAAATGCCCAGAAAAGGTGGTGGTCCCAAGAAACAATGGCAAGAATGCAAGATGAGAACTCCCTTTCATTTCGGCAACCCTATTCATATTTACAACTGTATGTGCTTTAAAAAAAATATTGGGGTTGGTTATATAGCAAAAAAAGAAAAAGAAAGAAAAACCATACTAATATCTGCACACACTCAATCTTCCTTTTTCCACTTTTGTTTTCCAATTATATTCTTGAAGTTCCATTAATTACAAAATAAACCTCTATACATGCCAGCACATCTACATAAGCATACAAAGCAAGAAACTAATCCAAATATTAGTCCTAACTAGAGTAGGCTCATTGCAGCAATGAGGATTTGGTAAACCAACGTTTACATACGTTTCATTAATTCAATAGACTTAATATAATTGGAATATAAATCATTTTTTGACTAAAGGGAGCATCACATATCAAAACCCTTCCATTTTGAACTATAATGGGAGTGGGGGTGGAGAAAGAAGGAGATCCGTTCCCTCTATCTGAAAGCTCAAATGTGTTTGATGCGTATCAAAATAAATAAGTCACAAAAAACACTCTGGATCAGTTTAGTGTTTTTAAGCTTGACTTTCTCTTTAAATATAGCAGAGAGCATTTAATCGTGAAAGTCTCCCCACCACCCGCCCCCTCCATAAGCCAAAGTAGCACCATCCGAGTTGTTTGTTTAGGCTGGGCTGCAGAATGGATTTTAAAATTAATGACACGCATGACTACAGCAGACTGAGGCTATAACACTGATGACATACGTTGGCGATAACATTTCCCCTGTCCCCATTATGCTAGTGTAAGTACTTTTTGCACATGTATACAAGAAGTAATCCAAGGGGAAGAAAGGACATCTTTATGATGTGGGCAGAGTTGGCTTTTGCTTCCCTGGTGTGTAAAGACATGTGGGAAACCCATCACAGGCGGGGATTGTAGTTGTTATTCTATGGCAATTGCTATGGTGAACCAGAAAATGGTTGGAACATGTAAAAATCAGTTGGCGAGTGTGTGTTAACTGAAAATGAAAAGCATGAAGTTGATTGGTTGGGCCACGCTCAAGAAGCTAGCTGAGCCTGGGAGTTTTGGCAACAGTTACATTTTTAGACTTTAGCTGTGCAGGAGCTTGCAGAGTTAGATTTGCTTCTGGGCTGCTGGAAGGTCTTTTACATGGACACTTAAGGGCCATTTGAATCTCGCTAAAAGGGATATTGGGTGAGTCAATGCAACTGTTCACATGATTGTATATGTGTTGCTCTGCATAGCAAAGATAAAACTTCTTGTTTTTTTATTGATCATATGCATGGCAAATCTTTTCTCTGTGTGGACTGGTAAAATATGAACGACACTTGATTTTCATTCTCCCACAAAAATGATCAAAAAGGAAGAAGTAGCACTTCTTCCCAGACAACAAAAATAAAAGTGACTTGTATTCCACTGTCAAGCTAATTCAGAGTTGGTTTGAGTGGGGTCTCAGCCCTGCATTTCTGCTCATGGTCAATTTGAGGGAACAGAGCTGGAGATGTTGCTTGCAGCATAGCGAAGACAGTTCAGCAAATCTGTAGCTGAACAAGAATCAAGCTACAGTTTCTTGTGTGAAGAATTCATGCTCATGGTCACTCCCGAATCCCTTCCACCTCCTGCCTATTCGTCTTCCTAGGACTTACCAAAAGCAGCTGGATCCCCAGGGTGTCTATTTCTGGCACAAACCTCTCAATAGACTGTGGGGAGCGGGGAGCAAAGGCACAGCGTGGCAGAGACACGTCCAGGGGCCAGTCCTCCTCAGATGGGAGTCCGATCAAACTAAAAGTCAAGAAGAAAAAACAAATCAGTTTTGGGTGGGGAGTTCTGATGCAGTCTAGATTGTAAGGTCTAGAGAACATCCCAGTTCACCATGGTGGCATGCCAGCTTCCCATTATATGAGGTAATTTCTTCTAATATTCAAACTGTTTTTCCCCAGGATTTCTCACCTGCACCTTCGTGGCTAGACAGTCTTTGAGCATAGCTACTTAAACTAAAAAGGAAGAGGGGCTGACCAAGGGCAAGATGGATGGATGGCATCCTTGAAGTGATTGGACTGACCTTGAAGGAGCTGGGGGTGGCGACGGCCGACAGGGAGCTCTGGCGTGGGCTGGTCCATGAGGTCACGAAGAGTCGGAGACGACTGAACGAATGAACAACAACTCTAAACTAAGATGAGGTATTCCATCCAATCTCCTGTCTAAAGTTTTTTAGTCAAAAAGGACTTCCTCTTCTACTTCTCTCTTCATTTATTCATGCCCCATGAAACCTTGCCCTCCTCACAGGGACATACCCTGTGCATCCCATAGAATAATATCACATAGAACAGTGGTTCTCAACCTGTGGGTCCCCAGATGTTTTGGCCTTCAACTAACAGCAGGCAAACCGGCTGGGATTTCTGGGAGTTGTAGGCCAAAACATCTGCGGACCCACTGACATAGGGGATAAATCAGTCAGTTTGCTGGAACCAGTTGTGAAATATATGGCAGCTGGGGAGGCTGAATGGGGAGCCAAGAGTAGAAAGGAGTGGAGTGAACAAGAAGGATGGAGAAGCGAGAAGGTCAGATGACATGGCAGGACTGGGTCTTTAAGCTACAGGGATACAGATGCATTGAGCACCCACCCAACATTGCTAGTGCCAAAGAAATGGGGTGGAAGAAACACCAGCCAAACAGGGAGCTGGAAAACTCAACACTGCAAATTATGGGACTCAACACTGCAGCTAGAAGCCAGCCAATGCCCCCAGAACCAGTTGATGATCCATTTGAACAACAAAATGCTATGTCACTCCCAGCTACCATTCCTAACCATTTAAGGCAGCATTTCTCAACCTGGGGGTCACAAGGGGGTTTCAGAGGGGTTGCCAAAGACCATCAGAAAACATATTTCTGATGGTCTTAGGAATCTCTTTGCCAGAGAAGGCTGAAGATCTCTCCACCTGTCCTATTCCTTTTTGGAAACAGATGGTGAGTACCTCCACCAAAAGCCCTTCTCCACTGTGACTGGATGGCCTCTCAGCCAAGGGGAGGGCTGTTTCTGACACTCCAAGCAGGGAGGGGAGAGCAGGCGTGCTCAGCGCATGGCAGTGTAGTGCACTTGTGTGGGCGAGGGAGAGCATGTGAGGTGGGAGGGAGGCTCATGCCAGCAAGTCCCTTCAAGGCATGGGGGTTCTGTGTGGGAAGTTTGGCCCAATTCTATCATTCGTGAGGTTCAGAATGCTCTGTGATTGTAGGTGAACTATAAATCCCAGCAACTACAACTCCCAAATGTCAAAGTCTATTTTCCCCAAAATCCACCAGTGTTCACATTTGGGCATATTGAGTATTCGTGCCAAGTTTGTTCCAGATCTTTCATTGTTTGAGTCCACATTGTTCTCTGGATGTAGGTGAACTACAACTCCAACGTTCAAGGTCAATGCCCACCAAACCCTTCAATATTTTCTGTTGGTCATGGGAGTTCTGTGTGCCAAGTTTGGTTCAATTTCATTGGTGGTGGTGTTCAGAATGCTCTTTGATTGTACGTTAACTATAAATCCCAGCAACTACAACTCCCAAATGACAAAATCAACTTCCCCCAACCCCACCAGTATTCAAATTAGGGCGTATAGGGTATTTGTGCCAAATTTGGTCCAGCGAATGAAAATACATCCTGCGTATCAGATATTTATATTACATTACTATTCATAACAGTAGCAAAATTACAGTTATAAAGTTAACAACAAAAATAATTTTATGATTGGGAGTCACCACAACATGTGCCAGCGTAAGTCGCCTCTGGGCTGAAAGGGGCAGCATAGAAATGCAGCAAATAAATAAATAAATAAATAAATAAATAAATAAATAGCTGTATTAAGGGGTTGCAGCATTAGGAAGGTTGAGAAACACTCATTTAAGGGAAGGAGGTTAATTCTTGAGGGGCAATGAATTCATCTGCTGTATTTTTGGGTGACTTTGTAGTGTTTTTTGGTTTATAATACCCCAAAATGCAGCACTTTTTAAGAATCAGCTGTGTGTGGAAGAAACTGGTAAAGCCACCTCTGAGTATTTCTTGTCTTAAAAAATCTGATGAAGTAGGTCACATTTTTCCCCATTCCTGAACTTGAGACATCCCAATCCCATATGATCCTAGATCAGAATTAATGCAATAAACCATGTAGACCAATGAACAAGGGCCTCCTTCTGTCCTTGTAATATTTTTTTTTACTGCTATGATTAATGAAAGTCAAGTCCCCTCTAGCTTCCAGTCTAAGAGTTTCTTGCTCTGTCAGAAAGGTCAATGAACGGAGGTTATGCCGCCACATGATATGAGTCTTCCCCTTTTCCTGACTCATAGAGACAAGCCACAGGTCTTGCTTTAGCCCTTTCACAAAATACTGAGTCAAGCAAGCCCCTCCAGTCTGTATTGAGTAATCAGGATGACTTAACTCTCATTGAAAGAGACTTCCCATTTCTTGAAGACTTGGCAGTGTATAAAAACCACCAACTAAACAAAAACAAAAAAAGGAGGAAAGACAGGACTTACTCAAAGATCTTGCCCAGCTGATCAGCTTCGGAGTTGCCACAGAAGAGAGGTCTGCAAAGGAGACATAGAGAAGAGTGGGCTATCATCGGATTGTGCCCCTAAGACTTCTCACTATTTACTAAGGCTAGACTTCTCACTATTTACATCTCGAACAACATCCTTAGTCCAGATGTAAGGCTTCAGGGGATGCTCCCTTTGTAAGGGGGGGGGGAGGTAATATGCGGCTGCATCACAACTGTGCCCAATCTTTCAAGGCAGCTGTGACTCACAACACAGAACTGAGAGGAATAACATTTTGAATGTCACTGCAGAGGCAGGCTCTGAATTATCTGAAGCAGCGGTACTGACCAAGCCAGGTCCAAGATGCCTGGGTTTAGCAAACAATGGGAAGGGAAGGGAGGGCAGAAAGAGAGGTGAATTGGACTGTTGGTGCAAGATTGATCAATTTGAACACAATGTGTTGTCTAGGGGTCCTCAAACCTTTTAAACAGAGGGCCAGGTCACAGTCCCTCAGACTGTTGGGAGGGCCGGATTATAATTTGAAAAAAAGAAGAAGAATGAATTGCTATGCACACTGCACATGTCTTATTTGTAGTGCAAGAACACTTAAAAACTATACAATAATTAAAATGAAGAACAATTTTAACAAATATAAAAGTATTAGCATTTCAATGGGAATTGTGGGTCTGATTTTGGCTGATGAGATAGGATTGTTGTTGTTGTTATTGTTTTTGTGTGCTTTCAAGTTATTTCACACTTTGATTGACCCTGAGCAAGGGCTGGGTAAATGACCTTGGAGGGCCGTATCCGACCTCTGGCCTTAGTTCGAGGACCCCTGGTGTTGTCAAAGGCTTTCAAGGCCAGAATCACTGGGCTGCTGTGAGTTTTCCGGGCTGTATGGTCATGTTCCAGAAGCATTCTCTCCTGCTGTTAAATAGAGCTACACTACAAAAAAAAAAAAAAAAAAAGGGGGGGGGATTCCAGGCAAGAATCAATCAGGGCAAGCTAATACCTCCCAAGAAGGGATCCCCAGACAGCAATCAGCCAGGCTTTGAAGCTACAAGGCCATTAAATGCTAATCAAGGTGGCCAATTGCAACATTCACACTGCCACAAAGAAAGAGTTGTCGAAGGCTTTCATGGATGGAATCACTAGGTTGTTGTAGGTTTTTCCTCTGGGTGGAAAGGAACAGAGGAAGGAACACTTTTCCTCTGGCCCCACCCCAGCCATTCCACAGATATATAAACCCATTGTCCTATTTCCAACAGACCTCACTACCTCTGAGGATGCTTGCCATAGATGCAGGTGAAACGTCAGGAGAGAATGCCTCTAGAACATGGCTATATAACCTGAAAAAACCTACCACAGCCCAGTGATTCTTTCTCCAACCTTGGACATTGCACAGATATGCAAACCTCACTTGCCTAGTTTCCAATAGATCTCATAACCTCCAAGGATAACTGCCATAAATGTGGGTGAAACGTCAGGAGAATGCTTCTGGAACATGGCCATAAAGTCCCGAAAACTCACAGCAACCCACTTTGAACACCATCCCACATGTCAAGTATTGCATTTGCTGCATAGAATACCAGTGCAAATTTTTTACACACAGAGAGAGAATTCTATGCCAATAAAGCCTCCAGTAAAGAGAAACATAAAATTAAGGTCACCGTTTAATGCTGTACACAAGCAACATGTTTCAAGACTAGCTGTGGTTTCCCAATTTCAAGTAAACGCTTTTGGCAAAGCGAATACACACAGGGTAGAGCACTCCTCCAGGGTGACAGTGTGAAACTAAAACCACAAGCCAAAAGACGGGGTTTTTTTGTCAAGAGATGAAAGGCAAGGCCTGGGAACTGTGCCCTGATCCTAACCTAGCACCAAACTGCTTGAGGTGTCTGAAGAGTTGCAGAATCTGAAGAGGAAACCATTCTGATTGGGTAAAGGAGGCAGAACTGAAGGAGCAGCCAATTAGCTGTCATATTAGTTGCTTTTAGACTTTCTCAGCCCTGTAATTCAACTATGTTTTCCAACTTGCAAAATCTATCATTCCCAACCAAAGACAACCCTGCAGAGACCGGGAAGCCTGAACAATCAACTCTAGATGCATCTGCCCTGCAGTATTAAGCACTTTGAGGCTGCTTTAACTGCCATGGTTCAATGCAATGGGATCGTGAGTGTTGTAGTTTGAAGAGGCGCCGGCAAGCAAAAGGCCATCTAAAGCTACAATTTCCAAAATTCCATAGCATTGAGCCATAGCCATGAAAGTATGCCCAACTTGCCTATGTGGACGTGTCTCCCCTTATGAACCTTCCAGGAATTTAAGATCATCTGGGGAGGCCCTGCTCTGGAACTCCCTCCCTGGGGATATTAGATCGGCCCCCTCTCTCCTGACTTTCAGAAAAAGAGTAAAAACCTGGCTCTTTGAGCAAGCTTTTGGAACTTAATTGTAACCAGACAAACTCAGTATTGTGAACAAACTTGGAACAGCTTAACAATGCAAATGGCTATGGATTTAAACTCAGAAGTCATTTATTTTTATAGTTTTAAATTGTTTTTATATGAATGTTATTATGTGATCTAACCTGTTTTAAACTATGAATTTATGTGTGTTCGGCATCTAATTGTTGCCAGTCTGTATGCCACCCTGAGTTGCCTTCGGGAGGAAAAGGGCAGGGTAAGTGTGTGGCAAACAAACAAACAAATAAATTTTACAGTGCAGATGCACCCTCTGTGTGAGAATGCACCTCCACCCATACAGTGTGTATGCGTGCTCTCTCTCTCAAACACACACAATTAAACGCTTCTCTTTTACCAATTCTCTCCAGCTTGCCGCATCTGTCTGCTGAGCTGTGTGAATCAGCAACATGGGAAGAGTTCTTGCAGAAATGTCCTGAAACCTGGGTAACCATCTTTCTGATGGCCACTTCCTACTACACAGCACCCCCTGCCAGACTTGAGCAGATAGAGCATTTTAACAAAACCTCATTGCTAGATCTCAAATGGAAGTATTTATTTATTTATTTATTTACAGTTCTTATATTCCGCCCTTCTCACCCCGCAGGGGACTCAGGGCGGATTACAGTAAACACATATATGGCAAACATTCAATGCCAGTTTGACAAACAACATTTAACAGACAAAGGCTATTTAACTTTTTTCTGGCCGCCAGGGGAGCTGCTGCTTTTCATCGTCCATCAACGACACCGATGAAGTTCTTCCGCATTCCACATTCCCCGGAGTCTTCTTTCTTTATGGCCTCATAAATTAGTTAAATTTAGCCTCCCCACACAAGGTGGTCCCTTATTTTCCTACTTGACAGATGCAACTGTCTTTCGGGTTGCAAAGGTCGACAACAGGCTACACAATGGTTGGAAACCCACTCCAACCCGGGCTGGCTTCGAACTCATGACCTTTTGGTCAGAGTGATCTTAATGCAGCTGACACTCAGCTAGCTGCGCCACAATCCCGGTGCCGTATATACTCTAGTATAAGCTGAGTTTTAAGCCCTTTTTTAAGGCTGAAAAAGCCCCCCCCCCCCCAGCTTAGTTATTTATTATTATATTCTGTTATTATTATTATTTTTATTACATTATTTTATTTTATTTACTAAATTTGTATACCGCCCCTCTCAGCCCAGGGGCGACTCGGAGCGGTTAACAACAGGCAACAATATGATGCCAGAACTGTTACAACAATTAAAACAATCATGAAATACTATTAAAACACTAACAGGTCAAGAGGGAGGGGCGTGACCTTATCTCTCTAGGCAGGGTATTCCACTGATACCTCAATTAATGTAATTTTATTAGTATCTATTTTTATTTTGAAATTTACCAGTAGCTGCCCCTAGTCCCAAATATTACTTTGAAAACTCATATATTTGCATAGTGGCAGACTGTACAGTTGTTACAATACAAGTTGTAGCCCAGTAGTGGATTCCACAACCCACCAGTTGAAAACCGGTGGGTTAGGTGCAAAACCCATTTACAAACACCTCTCAGAGAAAGGGGGAAGAGAATACACTGACCAATCACCCAACTTCCACGAGTTTTAACAAAAACATCTCAATACACAAACTGTGTGAGTGAGCTGGCAAAGGAATCACCTGCCATTAGACTTCACAGTGCCTCAAATAAAGATGTAAAGGAATCCAGTAGCTCCTTCCAGACTAATTACAGAAAAGAAATTTCTAGCATAAACTTCCTAGCATAAATATTTATCTCACAGAGAGGCAGTAGTTTAAGAGGGATCAGACAAGAAATTTCTTTTCCCTCAAAAATGCTTCTAAATTTCCTAATATCTCTAAACAGATAAGCAAGGCTACAGCTATGTCTCTTTGAATAGATGGTCAGCTGAAAAACGGAGCATACAGATGTAAGTTAACATGAAACTAAATATTGGATCATGTTAACAGAAATGGAGAATCAGTGGCAATACAGAAGGCAAGCTTACTCTCTTGAAAACTGCATAGAGTCTATTTTCAGATAGGTAGCAACTTCACGTGATGGGCTTTTTATCAATGTAAGTAAATGTAAAGGTTTCCTCTTGACGTTAAGTCTAGTCGTGTCCAACTCTGAGGGGTGGTGCTTATCTCCATTTCTTAAGCTAAGAGCTGGTGTTGTCTGTAGACACCTCCACAGTGACGTGACCAGCATGACTGCACGGAATGCTGTTACCTTCCTGCCAGAGTGGTATCTATTCATCTACTCACATTTGCAGGTTTTCGAACTGCTAGGTTGGCAGAAGCTGGGACTAACAGTGGGCGCTCATCCCACTCCCCAGATTCAAACCAGTGACCTTTCGGTCAGCAAGCTCAGCAGCTTAAATTGCTGCGCCACCAGGGGCTCCTTTTAACAATGTAGATATGTCATAAAGCTCTGAGTAGGTACAGGACAGAAGTGTGCAACAGAATGAACACAAGCATATAAAAAATTAGATAAGGAGTAGGAATCAAGCAGTTTTCCAGAAATTATCAAACTGTAGTTGCTAACACCTGTCATTATTGGCTACATTATAAGGCTGATGGGAGTTGCAATCAACATCAGGGAGACACATGATTCCAAATCAGATCTACAGACATTTAGCACATTTGAGGTGCTGCTGGACCAAAGAAGCAGGGATTTTGTGAACTTGTGAAGCTCTCCAATCCCATTTTAATTATTTTACTTATAGTTCAAAATAGGGATGTGCATCTGATCATGCGAGACGACTTGTGTGGATTCCCCCACAGCTTGGAAAATTTACTTTTTGAAACTCGTAAAATGACCTACGCACAGCCAGTTCTGGTTCCACTCCACATAACCAATAACAACAACTAGAAATCCTTTGTGTTTTCCATTCCCATTCAGAACATCTGTCTTCACCAACAGAAGTCCAAACAATGATCCAGGGGTGTCCGATTTATATTTGCAGGATACAAGAGACACAGACTGACTTCAGCCCCACTGCATCCCTAACTGCAACGCCTAGTTCCTGTCTACCCCTAAGATAGATTCATGATCCCCTCCTTCTGCCACATCATGTTCTGCAGAGAGGTCACCAGCTCCTCCCTGCTGCCTATCAGCCCCTCAGCCTGACCGATAAGCAAGACAGAGGGCTTGGGCCGGCCCACCCCTAATCTATTGTCTCCCAGCTGTGCTGCTGGCCCCGGTTTCCTGTAAGCAGCATGTACTCTAAGAAGGGTCTTTTCACAAGATCAGGCGTTAAGCCAGTTTGGAAATCTTGGGCAGGCACTGCCTAGGTGCAGGGAAATTAGGGATGTCAATGCTTTGATATTCTAAGGAAATGGAAAAGGGATGAGAAATGAAGCTCTCAAAACAATTCTGGGTTGCAACTCACACAATCCCACCCCACTGGATCTGCTGCCTAGGAGTTTTTGGGGAACTGAGACCCCAAAATATGATTTGCTACCCTGAAATTGGAAACTGAATGCTTAGGCTCATATTCTGAGAGCAGTTACAACAGTGAAACAAGTAATGAAACCTGGGATCTCTTCACACTATACAAATATTAGCTTTAACTTCCATGGCTGCCTCCTATGGAATACTGTAAATTGTAGTTTGATCAGAGGGACCTGAGGAGCTTCCCGGCTAAGAATTCTTGCTCAACTGCAAATCTCAGGATTCCATAGAAACCCAGCCATGACAATTAAAATTTGATTATAAATGCTGCAATTGTAGAGTGGAGCCCCTGGTGGCACAGTGAGTTAAACCAGAGCTTCTGAACTTGCTGACCAAAAGGTTGGCGGTTCAAATCTGGGGAGTGAATGAGCTTCCGCCATTAGGCCCAGTTTCTGCCAACCTAGCAGTTCAAAAACATGCAAATGTGAGTGGATCAATAGGTATCGCTTCAGCAGTAAGGTGATGACATTCCATGCAGTCATGCTGGCCACGTGACCTTGGAGGTGTCTACGGACAACGCCAACTATTCGGCTTAGAAATGGAAATGAGCACCACCCTCCAGAGTTGGGCACGACTAGACTTAATGTCAGGGGAAAATCTTTACCTTTAGCTTAATTATATAGTGCAAAAAGATCTGGTTTACTGTGCAGTCTGGGCATCAACAACTTCCATTCACTAGCTTGCTTCCTATAAACGTACTGGTCAAAGGACATTTCATCAACTACCAAGCTTGCAAACTTTGTGTTTTGTCTGTTTGTTTGTTCATTTTGTTAAAAATGTAATACAACTGTCTGGTTGCTCCTGACACGATAAATAAATAAATGGGAATTACAAGCTCGGCAAAAGTATGATAGCTGGGACCCTACCCTGATTGCGCACCACGGGTCAAAATTCATGAAGGGAAGACATGTGCAAGACAGCGCAGCGAGTGAGATGCATCTGTGAGGGAGGGAGGAGGAGGGGTCTATGGCTCACACATCCTCATCCCAGATTCTCCTCCCGATGTTTGACATTGTCCTATCTCCCAGTGTTTTACAATTTTATCCTGAATTTGGCCTTGCCCAGCGAAATCTTTTCTGTTTTAATGTCTGATTTTATATTGTTGTGTTGCTTATTACATTGTTTTGCATTTCATGTATTTTATTTTTTGGTTTTATTATGTTCTTGTTATATTGTTGTGTATTGTACTGATGGGCGTGGCCTCATGTAAGCTGCACCAAGTCCCCTATAAATAAAGTATTATTATTATTATTATTATTATTATTATTATTATTATTATTATTATCCTTCAAAGAAAGCAGCCCCAGAAGCTGGGAACAGTCCAAGCAGACTTCCCTTCATTGATCCTGATGCGCGCTGCTCAACCAGTGTAGGGTTCATAGGGTCTCAGCTATCATACTTTTGCCACAAGATCACTGGCATTTGTAGGCCCATCCCTATACTAATAGCAAAGCCGTTTCCATCTGCCTCCACCACACCATGCTGCCACTGCCAGCAATGAAACAACTCAGGATGTGGCCAATTAACTATCACCCTTTTTGCTGCACCAATATCATCACCACCACCACGTCATACTCACTTCCTTCGAAACATCTCTGCGAAGATGCACCCCACACTCCACAGGTCCACAGGAGTGGCATAAGCTGACTGGAGCAGCACTTCTGGAGCCCGGTACCAGAGAGTGACCACCTGCAGAGGGGAAGTTATTATCAGTGCAGGTGAAATGCACAGCTCTCATGAAGTCTCCCCTTGGCCTATTTTGCTCCATGAAGCACAAGGGCCGTAAAGTTCCCCTCCCAAAGGCAGGAATCATTCATGTCTCTGGACCTATTTCTCAAAACAGTTCCTAGAAGTGGGTCAAGCTCTACAAAGTTATAGATCATAGGCTTTTTGATGCTTTTCACTGCAGTAATATTTAGCCAGCACATTCCACTTCCCATTCTCAGTGGGAGATCCAAACCAGCTGTTTGGAGCCAGCACAGCCTTCTAATCTGCAACTAAGCACTCTAGACAGAGAGCAGCCCTCTTACATAATTCACATGCACCACAGATACTTTAGCACCCCCTTTTAAACTATGTTAGGATCAAAAAGTGGGAGAAATCTCTGTTCTCAGTTGAGGACGTCCAAAGTGGTGGAAATATGTGGTTCTCAGCATTTTTCACAACTGACTATGCTATTTGGGACATGCAGTCCACAAAATCTTGGAAGGTTGTATGGTTTCATTCCTGTCCTAGTTGATCTCCCTATACTAATCAGGAACAAAATTTGTTTCATTTTTGCTAACCCCAAGCCTTTCCCACTCACCAAAGGTGTCAGGGCCATCTGACAGCTGTAGATGCGAGCCAAGCCAAAGTCGGCCAGCTTGACTTGACCAGAACTGGTCACCAAGATGTTTTCTGGCTTGAGGTCACGATGAACAATGCAGTTTGAGTGCAGGAAATCCAAGCCACTCAAGAACTGATGCATCATATCCTGGAAGGAAATAAAAGGAAAGGAAAAAATATGTAGCATCAACACCTGCGTTTCGAAATCCTTATGCAGACTATGTTTGGATGGAGTACCTGGTAAGGAATTGGCCTACCTAACAGGTTGGTGTAAAGGCAATAAACAGGCCTATTTGGAAAAGCTAAGGAGAACGCGGGGGGGGGGGGGGGGGGGGGGGGGAGCGATCAGGCAGCCTCATAGCTAGAAGTGCAGTCTGATTGGCTGATGGAATTGGGGGGCAGAGTCAGAGGAAAAAGAAAGGAGCTAAGGCAGCCATAGTTGTCAGTTGGGAGTTTGGTGTTTGAAGAGCTAGTTGGGAGTTTTGAAGGTGAAAGAAAGAAGGAATGGAGGGAGGGTTTGGGAACTGTTGTTAAAAGATACCTCTTTGAGGAAAATAATTAAATAGTTTCATGGAAAAAAAAGAAGAAATATAATAGGCCTCTATAGTGTTAAGAGTGCTGGTGTGGAGAGAGGATTCAAAAGGTTCAAAATATCCTGTTTGTATTCCTGTGTGTGAAACATTGCTTATAAGAAACTCAAGTTATAGTACCACTCTCTGTAAAAGTAAAGCCTGCCAGTTTATTGAAACCATTATGCATTTTTACTGTTCAAGAACAAAATAAACAACATATTTTTGTTTTATTTCACCTGAAGAGTTTGTGTGTCTTCCTGAATATTCTCAGTGAAGGAGGTGGCCTATGAATCAATAAAGGCGGCAGCAAGAGAATCCTTGATAGTTAATTGGTGGCAATAAAGAAATATTTAATATACAGTGGTGGTCTTGTGCGTGAGGGCATGTGTGTCGCTGATCCCTGACGGCCTTCGATGGCCACACCTGTCGTTCCTTAGTATGTTTTATTTTATACCTCTCCAAATGCAATCAGGATGGCACTGGAAATATTTACCTTGATCATCTCTGCTGGTAAGCCAGGAGGTGGAGTTTTCTCCAAAAATGCTTTCAGATCCTGATCAACATGCTCAAACACCAATGTCACTTTGGTCTCACGCTCTGTCCGTGTCGTTGTGCAAACGTCCATTAGCCTATAAAGCACAGAAGAAAAAGGTGCATAACATGTGTTCCAGAGATACAAGAGTGGAGGCAAGGAAACAAATGAAATTAGGGGAACCGGGAGATTATATTTTTTAAATGATCATCTAACATGCTTAGACACAAACTCCTCAGTTTGTGCAGGATCTTATCCGAAGATTATTTTTATTTATCGTGTCAGAAGCAAATTGAGAATACAGTTATAATGTATTTAAAAAACCACAAACAAAGTTAAAAACTTGGCATTATGCTAATTTCCTTTGACCAGAAGCTGGCCACTTCAAGTGCCTCTGGTGGCGCTGTAGGAAGATCCTCCATTGTGAATGTCGTGGGGCTCAGAATGCATTGTAGTAAGTGGTCTGTGATTTGCTCTTCTCTGCACTTGCATGTCATGGACTCCACTTTGTAGCTCCATTTCTTAAGGTTAGCTCTGCATCCCGTGGCACCAGAGCACAGCCTGTTCAGTGCCTTCCAGGTCGTCCACTCTTCTGTGTGCCCAGGAGCAAGTTTCTCATCCGGTATTAGTCATTGATTGAGGTTCTGGGTTTAAGCCTGCCACTTTTGGACTCTCGCTTGCTGAGGTGTCCTTGCGAGTATCTCTGTAGATCTTAGGAAACTGTTTCTCAATTTAAGCCATTGGCATGCTGGCTGATATCTGAACAGAGGATGGGCCGGAGATGTCAATGCCTTGAACCTTTCATTGCTAGCCGCTACTTCCCAGTGGATATCAGGTGGTACAATACTGGCTAAACCGTATAATTACTCCAGCAGTGTTGGGAGTAGACATCCTGTGATAATATGGCATGTCATCTTAGCATGATGAGTAAGAAACATTGAGTGGGGAATATGCAGTCCTGCAAATGCTGCTGGAGCACAACCCCAATTAACCTTAACCACCACAGCCAATAGCAAAGGCAGACCAAAATCCAGACTCCTAACTGTCAGCTAACTTTGTTAACAGGCATCTCAGGTAGGTAGGAAAACATTAATGGATATAACTGGTAGCCTTCCTATTAGTCTTTTCCAAATCATTACTACTATTTCGTTGAGAGTGCCAGATCCATGCTGCCCCATCCACACAGTCTTTGCCCTGTCAGCATTACTATTCAAGCATCCGGACACTGACATTCCACAGCACATACAGTCTCCCTATGTCCATTCCAATGACACTTATCATTCCACTTTGGCCTGCAATTTCCCGTACTTCACCTGCAGTTTCTACTATGAATCATCTCTTAAAAAGCAAACACTACAAGAGTTGTAAACCTGCATCCTGAATCAAAATTGCAAACTCTTTTGTCAGGAGACACCACAGATAATTGAGTAGAAGAACTGGTCTAATTCAACCTCCAGTTTTCAGGCCTTCCAGGACTGTGATCAGGTCACAAAAATCTGATCAACCGTATCTGCTAATGATGTTTCTATGTAAGTTTCCTAACTTTTCAGATGTATGTATTACTTATTGTTTTTGTATACCGCCTTTTTCAGCCCTTAGGTGACTCAAAGTGGTTAACAGGGCAAAATTCAAGGCTTACAATGTCACAAATACAATTTAAAACGTAACATATAATATAAACTAAACAAATCAATGAAATATAAATTCATAGTGTCTCCTTGTTAAAAACGTTGTCCGGACTCATTGTCTAGTCATTCCATTTTCCTTTGTCAGTTACTCTGCATTTGCAAACACTTGTTCAAAAAGCAACATCTTGACTTTTTTCCAGAATGTTAAAAGGGAGGTGGCCAATCTAATATCTATAAGGAGGGCATTCCACAGCCAAGGGGCCACCACCGAGATGGCCCTGTCTCTTGTCCCCACCAAACGTACTTGTGACGAAGGGGGTAGCGAGAGCAGGGCCTCCCCAGACACTCTTAAGGTCCTAGATGGTATATAATGAATGTCCAAACCCACCTGCCACCAGCTCCCTGCAGCCTTTCATTTGCTTGGTCAAAAAGCTGGCAAAACAGGCTAATAATAATAATAATAATAATAATAATAATAATAATAATAATAATAATAATAATAATTTATTTGGGGAATCAGGACGGTGTCCAACATAGGTAAAGCATTGCAACTACCAACACAAAGACATACAAAATAATCATTAAAAACAATGACATATTATAGAACAGTGGTACATATTTAAAATTAAAAGCTAGTTCGGTACTAATTTCCACCAGGCAAGATCAGTTACCAATGCCCAGAATTCCAGAGTGGGTCTCGACAACTATGAGAGGGCTGGGCTAGTACAACGAAGTAGACTAGGGCCTGGGGAGTGGGTAAGGAGCAAGCATGGTCCTGCCTGATGGTCAGGGTGGGACCTGGAGCTAATTATTTCCAAGGCATGTTGTACAGCTATAAGAGGGCTGGGCCAATGTGGAAACACAGGGGCAAAGGTAGGGACGAAAACCTAGATTTCCTGCACTCCAACCAGTACTTCAAGACATACATACACACACACAGATATATTACAGTCAATGACCAGCACCAGATATATGTGTTAGTGTATATATATGAATGTGTGTGTGTGTGTATATATGTGTGTGCTTCAGCAAATACACACTAGCTCCACATACAGAGGTATGCGAATATTATCCACTTTCCCCTATGTCCAGAATCTGAACACTGAACAGCTAAAGACATGCATGGACAGTACTGAACTAGGCGTGGACAGCTGGCAGAGAAGGTGGTCAACTGCTCCCACTCAATACTTCAGTTTGTGCTTCTCCTGACTAAATCAGGAACTGAACACCACATTGTTTTTCTGGGCCTCCACTGTGGTTTGTGTCAACAGAGACTCCGGGGCTGACTCTCTTTTGATCAGGACTTAGAGGCATGAAAGGGAGGAGGCATCAATTTCCCAATGCTTCTGTCTCAGATCTAATTCCATTTTAGGAGCTTGCGGTCCTGATCATTTTCTCTCCAAACATGTAGTCGTCAAGTCTGACATCAAAGCAAGTTTCCCTTGCTCAGCTCACATTCTTTTGCTTTGTCATAAATACCTGTGGGAAGTTTCAAACAAGTTTCCCTAGCTGCTCTCAAGAGGAAAAGGTTTGGTTGAGGCCCAAAGGATCCATATGAGGAAGAGGAATATCTGACGGCCAGGAGCCTATGCAGGCATCAGGTGATTTTCTCAAATATACATTCAGTCCTCAGCCCAGACAGTATTCACAGTTGCCCATGTTGGGTCTGTATGTCAAGTTTGGTCCAGATCCGTCATCGGCTGGGTTCAGTGTTTTCTGGATAAGGGTGAATTACAACTCACAGATTCCCAGGGCAATCACCCCCAAACCCAGCCAGTATGCACAGTTGCCCATGGAGGGTCTGCGTGGCAAGTTTGATCCAGGCCCATCATTCATTCATGGGGTCACGGGGGTCTGTGGAAGTGGGTGAAGGTACTGCAAATCCCATCACCTGTGGTCCATCTTCCCCTAACCCTCACCAGGACATAAAGTGCATTATAGTGAGTCTGTGTGCCAACTGGGTCCAGGTGCATCATTTGTGAGGGTCGCAGTGATTTCTGGAAGTGAGTAAAGATACTACAAATCTCACCATCCCCAGTCCAGCCTCCCCAACCCTCACCAGGAAAAGAGTGTGTCATTAAAAGTCTGTGTGGCAAGTTTGGTCCAGGTCCGTCATGCCTGGGGGGTCGCAGTGGTCTGCGGGAGCTAAATAGGGTGAAGGTACTGCAAATTCATCATCCGTGGTCCGTCCTCCTCCAAACTTCATCAGGACGTATAGTGGGTCATGGGGGGGGGGGGGTTCTGTGTTTCAAGTGTGGTCCTGATCCATCATACTTGGGGGTCACAGTGGTCTCTGAAAATGAGTAAGATACTGCACGCCCCATCATCTGCGGCAAGTTTGGTCCAGACCCATCGTTGGTTGGGTTCACAGTACTCTCTGGATGTAGGTGAGAGACACCCCTCTGGGCACACGGAAAACTGGGCGACTCGGAAGTCGCTAAACAGACTGTGCTCTGGCACCACGAGAAGCAGAGCAAATTTTAAGAAATGGGGCTACAAAATGGAATCCACGACATGCGTGTGTGGAGAAGAGCAAACCACTGACCACCTGCTGCAATGCAACCTGAGCACAATGGAGGACCTTTCTGCAGCAACACCAGAGGCACTCCAAGTGGCCAGATACTGGTCAAAGGACATTTAATCAACTACCAAGCTTGCAAACTTTGTGTTTTGTCTATTTGCTTGTTTTGTTAAAAAATGTAATACAACTGTCTGGTTGCTCCTGACACGATAAATATAATCAATGTCCCACAGGAGGAGGAGGAAGGCAGCAGCTGAAAGCTGACACAGCCCTCCCTTGCTCTTTTTACCATGCGCACCTCCCTCCGTCCTCCTCTCATCATAGCGAGATGCATTAGGGAGTCCTGTGTGCCTGGCAAAAAGAGCAAGGGAGGCCCCCGTGTACCTAAGTCCATCCTCCTCTTGCCACAGTGAGAAGAGTGAGGGAGGCCCATGCCTGCCTCCACATCGATGCCGCCTTCCTCCTCCTCCTGGGGTCGGGTGCCCTCAGTCTTTCACTGCGGTGAGAGGAGAAGTGGAAGGCTTGTGTGGGCCTCCTTCGCTCTTTTTGCTCCACGCAGGCCTCCCCCACATGACTCGGCAGCCCCAGAAAGAAGAGGAAGGCGGCATCGATGTGGAGACCAGCAAGGGCCTCCCTCACTCCTTTTGCCCCACACACTTCCCTCTGTCTTTCTCTCACCGCGGCGAGAAGAGCAAGGGAGGTCGGCGCAGCAAAAAGAGTGAGGGAGGCCTGTGTGCACCTCCCTTCCCTCCTCTTCAGGGTGAGACCGAGCCCAGAGCTGCCTGCACCTCGGCCTGTTCCCGGCCAGCTCTGGGCCTGGTTGGTGGGAGCCCAGCTCAATACTCAAGATGGCAGCCCCCAACCCAGGTGGGAAAGTGGTTAACTGGGAAACTTACTGACTCAGCTTATACTTGAGTCAATAAGTTTCCCAGTTTTTGTTGCAGAATTAAGTGCCCCGGCTTATATTTGGGTCGGCTTATACTCAAGTATATACGAGATGCTCAAACTGAATTGCAAAAAAAAAGCTTTCTGATTTTTGTTATTTAACTTCAGCTTCTGCATCTTCTCCCTTAATATCATAGATGGAAACCTTGCATCCCTCCATTTGTTTTGACTGCAAGTCCCAGTAGCCTTAGCTACTATGGGCATGAAAAGAAACCCTGAAAAAGAGAGGGGGGCAGTGTAAAAAACAACTGCACTCATATGATTTCCATCCAGAGCTTAGAAGAGTCACCCTTTTGGACTACATCTCCCAGAATATCTCAATGCTGCCTGGGAAATTCTAAGAACTACGATCGCATAAAGTAATTTTGCCCTGGACACAACCACTTCTACTTTCTGATTAAGAGGCAGGTCTCTCAGTTTGCAGGATGCAGTCTCAGAAAGCCCCCTTGTGCCTCCCCACAGAATACATTGCGCATCCTCACCGCACAACATTGGGGTGGTCAAAGTTCTCTAGGCGTTTAAGCAGGGCCACTTCACGGACTGTGGAGTGCGGCAACCCATTCTCGCTGTTCTGGACCCGCACATTCTTAAGGGCCACAAACTTGCCGCTTTGTAGGTCCCGGGCCTTGAAGACGGTGCCGTAAGCCCCGATGCCGATTTCAGCCACAGGCTCATACTGTTCACATCTCCCCATTGCCATCCTGGAGGGTGCTTCAAGTGGGGCCTGGAGGCTTTAAGGGACAAAGGAAAAGAAGAAAAGGATAAGGAAAGCAGTTCACAACACTGCCAATGGCAGATGCCTTTTACATTTCCCAAATTTCATCCACTTTCCCTTTTTCTTTAATAAACCTGAATATTTCTTCTAGGAAGACCCTGAGAAAGTTATCTTTTTGGACTATGATTTTCAGAATAGCCATATTGCCTGGGGGATTCTGGGCCATTTAATCCAAACAAAGAAAGAACTCTTGCCTCCAGCAGACAAGAGTTCTTTCTCCCACCCTGGACCTTCCACAGATATATAAACTTCACTTGCCTAGTGTCCAACAAACCTCACAACCTCTGAGGATGCCTGCCATAGATGTGGGCGAAACGTCAGCAGAGAATATTTCTGGAACATGGTCATACAGCCTGGAAAACTCACAGCAAGCCAAAGAAAGTTTCTCTCATTTGGCAACTTGCATTTTTCTATTTCATTCCAACAACAACAACACACAACCAGCTGATCCCCAACCCATCTAAAACACAGACATGTGCCTTTCATCTCAAGAACAGAGAAGCATCCCGAGCTCTGAAGATCACCTGGGAAGGAATCCCACTGGAGCATTGCAGCGCACCCAAATACCTGGGAGTCACTCTGGACCATGCTCTTACCTACAAGAAGCACTGCCTGAACATCAAGCAAAAAGTGGGTGCTAGAAACAATATCATACGAAAGCTGACTGGCACAACCTGGGGATCACAACCAGATACAGTGAAGACATCTGCCCTTGCGCTGTGCTACTCTGCTGCTGAGTATGCATGCCCAGTGTGGAACACATCTCACCAAACTAAAACAGTGGATGTGGCTCTTAATGTGACATGCCGCATTATCACGGGGTGTCTGCGCCCTACACCACTGGAGAAATTACACTGCTTAGCCGGTATTGCACCACCTGACATCCGCCGGAAGTAGCAGCCAATAGTGAAAGGACCAAGGCAGAGACATCTCCAGCTCATCCCCTGTTTGGGTATCAGCCAGCACGTCAACGACTTAAATCTAGAATAAGTTTTCTAAGATCTACAGAGACACTCGCTGGAACACCTCAGCAAGCGAGAGTCCAAAAGTGGCAGGTCAAACTCAGAACCTCAACCAATGGCTGATACCAAATGAGAGACTCCCTCCTGGGCACACAGAGGACTGGGAGACTTGGAAGGCGCTGAACAGACTGAGCTCTGGCACCATGAGATGCAGAGCCAACCTTCAGAAATGGGGCTACAAAGTGGAATCCACGACATGCGAGTGTGGAGAAGAGCAAACCACTGACCACCTGCTGCAATGCAACCTGAGCCCTGCCACATGCACAATGGAGGACCTTCTTGCAGCAACACCAGAGGCACTCCAAGTGGCCAGATACTGGTCAAAGGACATTTAATCAACTACCAAACTCACAAATTTTGTATTATGTCTGTTTGTTTGCTTTGTTCTGTTAGAAATGTAATATAATTGACTGGCTGCCCTGACACGAAATAAAAAATAAAAACACACACACACACACCCCAACAGCATCCCTCTTTAACGCTGCTTTCCCAGCCCACCTCTTAGGGTACATCTACACTGCATGTTAAAGCAGTTTGTCGCCATTTTCATCATGGTGGCTCCATACTAAAGAATCATGGAAGCTGTAGTTTTACAAGGTTTCTAGACTTCTCTGACAAACAGCACTGATACCTCCTCAACCTACGACTCATGCACCAAGGCAGTTAAAGTGGTGTCAAACTACATTAATTCTATAGTACAGGTGCAGCCTTTATTATCAGACTCAAAAAGGATTCATTTCCTTTGTTAAAAGAAGATGAGTTTGGAGGGGCTTCCCTCCCATACAAGAGAGACAATCTTGCTTAGTGTTGGACTTGGCCCTTGATTTCTCCGTCTCACCTTTTATGATACAAAGATTAAGACAACTAGGGCAAAAGAGACAGCAATGCTTTTGACAATCATGGAGAAGAGAATCTTAGTTGATACTCTTTCACAACTTTCAAAATACCCTCTTTGGCACCAGGGTTAATAGCATCTGCCAAAACAGGTATAAACAATTAGAGTATCCAAATCAAGTCCTCAAAGACTTTCAGGCAAACTCTCTATCCATAAAGCACAAGTAGACCTTCTATAAACACATATCCCATATCCTAACAAATTTGTGAACATCCTGCGGCTCCTCCATGATGACATGATGGCAACAGTCTTGGACAGCAGTGGCTCCCAAAGTGATCCATTTAAGGTGGAATCAGGTGTCAAACAGGGATGTGTTATTGCCCCAACTTTATTTTCCATCTTCATCGCTATGATACTTTATCTTGCTGATGGGAAGCTTCCCACCAGAGTGGAAATCATCTATCAGACAGATGGCAAGCTATTTAACCTCAGCAGACTGAAAGCTAAAACCAAGGTTACAACAACATCTGTTATAGAACTCCAGTATGCTGATGACAACGTCATCTGTGCGCATTCAGAAGATCTACAAGCCACTCTAAACACGTTCGCAGAAGTATACGAGAAGTTTAGCCTGTCATTGAACATCAAGAAAACCAAAGTGCTCTTCCAGCAGTCACTAGCCAATCCCTCTCCAATGCCAGAAATACAGCTTAATGGTGTAACATTAGAAAATGTTGACCATTTCCGCTACCTTGGCAGCCACCTCTCCACAAAAGTCCACATTGACACCAAATACAACACCACCTGAGCTCTGCGAGTGCAGCATTTTCCGAATGAAGCAGAGAGTGTTTGAGGACTGGGACATCCGTAGGGATACCAAGGTGCTTGTTATAAAGCTATTGTCCTCCCAGCCCTGCTATATGCCTGCGAAACGTGGACAGTCTACAGACGTCACATGCAACTCCTGGAATGATTCCATCAGCGCTGCCTCCGGAAAATCCTGCAAATCTCTTGGGAAGACAGCGGACAAATGTCAGCGTGCTGGAAGAAGCAAAGACCACCAGCATTGAAGCAATGGTCCTCTGCCATCAACTCTGCTGGACCGGCCACGTTGTCTGGATGCCAGACCTCCGTCTCCCAAAGCAGTTGCTCTACTCCGAACTCAAGAATGGAAAACTAAATGTTGGTGGGCAGGAAAAGAAATGTAAAGAGGGGGTCAAAGCCAACCTTAAAAACTCTGGCATAGACACTGAGAACTGGGAAGCCCTGGCCCTTGAGCGCTCCAGTTGGAGGTCAGTTGTGACCAGCAGTGCCGTAGAATTTGAAGAGGCATGAATAGAGGGTGAAATAGAGAAATGTGCCAAGAGGAAGGCGTACTGGCTCGAGAGCAGTACGTGTGAAAAAGGTCTTGGAGTCCTCGTGGACAACAAGTTAAACATGAGCCAACAATGTGATGTGGCGGCAAAAAAGGCCAATGGGGTTTTGGCCTGCATCAATAGGAGCATAGTGTCTAGATCTAGGGAAGTAATGCTACCCCTCTATTCTGCTTTGGTTAGACCACACCTGGAATATTGTGTCCAATTCTGGGCACCCCAATTCAAGAGAGATATTGACAAGCTGGAATGTGTCCAGAGGAGGGCGACTAAAATGATCAAGGGTCTGGAGAACAAGCCCTATGAGGAGCGGCTTAAGGAGCTGGGCATGTTTAGCCTGAAGAAGAGAAGGCTGAGAGGAGATATGATAGCCATGTATAAATATGTGAGAGGAAGCCACAGGGAGGAGGGAGCAAGCTTGTTTATTGCTTCCATGGAGAATAGGACGCGGAACAATGGCTTCAAACTACAAGAGAGGAGATTCCATCTGAACATGAGGAAGAACTTCCTGACTGTGAGAGCCGTTCAGCAGTGGAACTCTCTGCCCTGGAGTGTGGTGGAGGCTCCTTCTTTGGAAGCTTTTAAACAGAGGCTGGATGGCCATCTGTCAGGGGTGATTTGAATGCAATATTCCTGCTTCTTGGCAGGGGGTTGGACTGGATGGCCCATGAGGTCTCTTCCAACTCTTTGATTCTATGATTCTATGATCAAGCCAACCCCGACTGGGACCGCCTTCCACCTGGAAACCAATGCCCTCACTGCGGGATAACATGCAGACCAAGAATAGGGCTCCACAGTCCTATTAAAATTTTACCGAGAGCAAAATTAGATCACTGCCCTTTAGAAATTATACTCAATCAAGGAGAGAGAATATACAAAGGGAGACTAAATGACAATTTATTGAAATCAGAGTAACAAATTAAAAAATACAAGAAAATCCTAAAAGAGCTTTTTGAAATCGATGCAATCCTGGAAACTTCAATACAAATAGTATGGAATTTAAGTAAAACTGTGATGGGTGGTTACTAAAGAAAGTGCAAGACGCAATCGTTATCGCAGAATCCAAACTAGAAAAGAATCCATCAGATCAAAATAGCAAATTTGATTTGGAGACACTAAGGAAGCAGAGAAATTATTTAGAAACAGACCAACTAGCCAAAAAAGTTAAAATTTGTAAAACAGCAACACTTCCAAAATGCAAATAAACCGAACTGGTTTGCAAGAAGAATATGGCAGAAAAGACAAACACAACATATTACTAAAATTGTGAATGACGACAAAGTAAATCAATTCAATAAATATTATAAAAAATTATATTCCAAAGAACAAATAAAGTAGATATAATACAATATTTAGGAACACAAAACCTGACAAAAATTATGGAAGAACAAAGAGAAATACTCAACAAAGAAATAACGGGGGAAGAAATATAAAAGGCAATAAAGAAATTAGATAATAATAAATCAACTGGCCCAGATGGAATTATGGCCATTTACTAAAAAAGTATTACAGGGTGGGGCAACATAACTTCTTTTTTTAAAATGCGCGCCATTCAGTCAGTTGAAGACATAGCGGAGCGCTCGTGGTCTCGTTCGAGAAGCAGGAGTATAAAGTTTTGTCCTGACACAGTTGAGTCGCCATCATGCATTGGAACAGTGAGGAGCGTGCTTTTGCCGTTGAGGCCTACTTTTCGAGCGGATTTGGAGTGGCTGGCCCGCTCTCCAGA